TCTCTCTCTCTCTCTCTTCTACACTCTCCGCCCTCCATTTACGCATTCCTCTCTCTTCCCTGAGAGAGTCACAATCTTCAATTTTGTTATGTCAAACTCTCATCACCACTTTTGTGCTTGGATGTCTAGCAGACCTTTCGAGCAGCAGGCAGTGACCGCGGGTAAGGTACCAAGTATGGAGCGGCAAGGTGCAACCGGATTGGGAAGTGGAGCGACCACCTCCAGCACACTGTTTGGGTTGCCATCCGGACTCGATCGGCTCCTCAGCAGGTTCTTATGACATTCTTTTCCGGACTTTTTGGCCACAAGATTTTTCATTGTGGGCTATGACATGGCAGCAGGGTGCATGGACCCCCCGCCCCTGCATGCTGCTGATTGATCGTGTTCGACCCATGTCGTCTCCTTCATAATTCAATCATGCAGGGTGCTGACTTGCTGAGTGGTAGACAATGTCCTTGCCAGCCAATGCCACACACAGATGGTGAGGGGATGTCAAGAGAAGAGGGGTTGTGTCCTTTCAGGAAGAAGAAGACACATGAGCACAGTGGCAGGTTTGTTATGCATCTTAGATAAGGCAGAGGTTGGGAACAACTTCATCTCTTAATTGTTTGCATGGATCATCTCTTGATGAGGGTGATGCGGGTGGAAGCCTCTCCTTTGGTAAAGGTTCTGCAGGTAGAAGTCACACCTCCTGTTATAAGGGGGATGCATGCAGAGGTCTCACCTTGATTGGGGGGGGAGAGGGGGGGGTCTTGACTGATTGGTACCCTTTCTTTCCAGATATTGTAATTTCCAGACCCTACCTGGGAAGGAAGGGGGATGCAGCAGGTAGAAACCTCACCTTTCATAAAGGTAGGTTCTGCAGGTAGAAGTCTCACCTCGTGTTATAAGGGGGATGCAAGCAGAGGTCTCACCTTGATATTGGGGGGGGCGGGGGGGGGGGGATGTCCTTCGACTGATTGGTACCCTTTCTTTCCAGATGTTGTACCTTTCCGGACCCTACCCGGGGAAAGTTCTCAGGGTAATGGGAAGGGTATCTGGATAAGATCTATTTCCATAAAATAAAATTTGTGCTTTTCGCCGTCTCTTGCCAAATCCTATCATGGACAGCAGCTGTTTATGCTCACAGCCAATCTCCTCGCACCTTTTCAGGTCTAAGTACAACAGAGCATGCAAACATTGCAGGTTTCTTGGCTGTGCTGCGCATCTCCGCAGTCGCTCCTCTCTAACAGAATTCAAGTCGTCACCAATCTTGTGCAACCGTCCGTGTTTTTTTGTTCTTTTCTATTTCCTTGTTGTGCCTCTCGCAAACCCCAAACAATTCTTCTCTGCAGGAACAGCTTATCTTCAGGTCCTTGGTTTCGTTCCCCCGCTTCCCTTCCTCCTCCTCCTCCCCCTTCCCCTCCCTCTCCCTTCCTCCCTCTGCACGACCCTGCCCCCCCAAGGAAGGATTTATCTTCAGCGGATCTTCCAGCTTACACCCTGTTTTGCTCACCCCGCCAACTAGCAGTTATTTTTGTGGAAACTCTTTTTCGTGCGTACAGCTGTTATTATGTTATGATGGATTAGCGATGCACGGAGGTTGTATCAGCCCTTTGAAAGGGAGGGGAGGAGGGGGGGAGAGCGGCAGGGGTGCGGTCCTTTTTCACTGTGGCTGCTATGGCCTCGACGATCAACACAGAAATGTGTGGCACGTAGATAGCGGTCTGCAACCCTCGCCCTGGTTGGTAGATTACCTGAAAGGCGACCTACGTACACGCCTAAGAAGGCTCCAATTTTAATGAAAGGGCCTAGCTCAGTTGGTACGCCCTTGATCTGTGGAAATACAGACCCAAGTTCGAATCCAGATGCTGGGGCCGGTCAGTTCCATGCTCATATCTCAAGGCCGTCGGCCTTGTAACGGAAATTAAATGACAGAGCAAAACAGAGAGGAAGAAGGCTCCAATTATTAAGGTTCAATTGACCAAGAAGGGAAAAAAAAAAAAAAAAAAAAAAAAGGTGCTTGGTATCTTGTATGTGTATAAATGGACATTCAAGCAATTCATGAAATGCCCTTCCTTACCTTCTGTGCTGCCTGAATCAGGCTGATTCATAGAACGGACTGGGGTTCGCAACTTTGCAGCAATTATTGCAGTGACAAAGAGGGGTAAGGGGCAGGATCCCCTTCATCATCATAGTAGGGCACTCCCAACCCTACACCACCATCTTTTAATTTTTCCTGCAGAGTTTCTGCAGCAGTCTGTCTTTTCTCAGTCCCGAACCTGGTCCATGAAAGGATTCACGGGCCTCCGCGTTACAGCCGTGGTATTGTGTGTGTCCCATTTTCTTTTGTATCATAGGGCCACGTGTAGAATTTCCCGGTAGGTTCTGTATATAGGCCAAAATAGAGATCTGACTCCGCATAAGGCCGGTAGTCAGTAGGTAGGGAGTCGCCATCCGTCAAGTCGCGGTAAGTTGCAGCTCGGTCGCAGGAAGGGCCCCATGACAGGCCGGATGTTTGTCAGCCATGGCAGCGCATGGCAGAGAGGGCCAGGAGTCATATGAGAGGCAGAGGCACATGCACAAAAGCGAGGCCCGCACCAGAAACCTCCTCTTCTTCAATCCGGCTTATGCGGAAGCTCTGCTGTGTTTTGTGTGCCAAGATCTTGGATGTGTGAACAGTGCCTGGCAAGGAAGGAGTCAACGGGGCGCCATAGCTGTAGTTAGGTGCAGTAGTACAGAGGGAGAGGAGCGAGGACATCCAGAGAGATTCGGGAGACCTTGTGACGTAGTAGGGGGTGGAGAGAGAGAGAGAGAGAGAGAGAGAGAGAGAGAGAGAGAGAGAGAGAGAGAGAGAGAGAGAGAGAGAGAGAGAGAGAGTTACCTGCCTGTTGTCATTGTTGGTGGCCAGAGCCACAGATCTTGAGAAACATGTGTACACCATTTGAAGTTGTAAATAAGTTGGGAGTGTGCTCATACCGTGTGAATCTTGCTGGCTTGGTGTGAATCTTGAGTGCTATGTATGAGGGAGGGGATCACGTGGCTGTTGTGGAGCATGGGGGAGGGCCAAGAGGAAGAGGTGGTGGAGGGGGGGAAGGTCCCGACCACAAAGATGAGGAGGTGGTTGCCAGCGATCGCCACAGCGAGGAAGAGGCAACAGGTCGATAAATTTTGTGGTTCGAGGTTCCCACCACACGGAGGGCGTGAGGGAGGCCAACCCTGTGGATGCAAATGAGCCTGTCAGAGTCCCAGAAGCGCCAACACTGGGACAATGAATGATGTTTGAAGTGTGGTAAGGCAGGGCACATCAGTCCTTTTTGCTCGTATTGGACGCAGCCGGCATCACAACCACACAGAAGGGCAACAACAATCAAAGAGGGAGTGGCTAGTAGGAATGGCAACCAGTTTCATTGTGGTGGCGAGGGGGTTCGTGGAGAAAAGGCACGCACAGAGGAAAACTCTACCTATTGGGGTGGCGAGGGGGTTCGTGGAGAAAAGGCACACGCAGAGGAAAACTATACCTATTGGGGTGGCGAGGGGGTTCGTGGAGAAAAGGCACGTGCAGCGAAAAACTACTACTACTTGAGGGCCATGGCCATGGTTGAAGTAGCCAACCGTTCAGGTAGCTGTCAGGAGGTCGCTTGCTGTAGGATACGTTCGAACGGTCCCCTAATAGACATAGGCCAGGAAAAAAACGGATCGCTCTTCTCCGAGTGTGGGCTACTCGAACGAAAACACCGCAGCAGCTAGTAGAACTAGGTAGGTACGGCCGCACCACTATGAGTGCGGACATAGAACTTGTAGAACTTGGTAGGTACGGCCCCACCACCATGAGTGCACTGTCATGCCTTTTGGTCTGTGACTAATACCCCTGCTACTTTCCACCATTGCATGAATGACCTTTTCAGAGGCTGGCTTGAGAGATCTGTAGTTGTGTGTTTATAACTTTGTATGACATCCCGGTTTTTACTATTCAGTAAAGTTCTAGAAGAACATGAGGGGCATCTATGCAAAGTCGTTCCGAAGTTTAGACATCAAGTTTTGTAAGGTGTATCCCAAGAAGTCTGAGCGGGCGAAGAAGCTTCATGTAGGTCTTTGCATGGGTGGGAATCCCAATGGTAACCAGCACATGGTGAAACCCTTGACTGCTGAGAACAAATGCCAGATTTCAGACTTACACATAGAAGACTTAGGTCACTGGGGCCTGACTCTGTGCATCAAGCTGACTTTTTTTGTGTCGGTGGTTGGTGGATTCGTTTAGCCAGTGGGCTGACAGGAGGATAGTGACAAGACTGTGACAGACTGTTTCAGTGGATTTGCACCGACTTGCTACAGTCTTCCCCCGAATACAACGTACGGTCATTATAGCTGAATTTGGTGTATCTTTCAGTCTACATTCAGCTGTAATGACCGTGCGTTGTATTCGGGGGAAGACTGTAGGAGGTTGAACCCTTGACCGTCTGAGGAATGCCCATGTTGATGTTTTGAGTCGTGATCTCCTTTAACCCCTCTCGCAAGCAGGACTACCAGCAGGTGATTTCACGAGCAGCAAGGCGAAGGCGAGATGGTGACAAAGCACTGAACTGCAAGCAACACCAAAGTGAAGGCACATGTGCTGGAGGGCACAGGGGAGGCAAGTGGGGTGCCGAACAACAAGGCAAGCAGCAGGGCAGGGCTATGAGCAGCAAGGGAACAAGGCAACAAGGCATTTAGCACTCGGCAACACCGAGGCACATAGGCTGGAGGGCATGGAGGAGGTGTGCCTTGGTGTTGCTTAGTGCTCAGTACCTTGTTGCCCTTGTTCCCTTGATGCTCATAGCGCTGTGCTGCTGCTTGCCTTGTAGTTCGGCACCCCGCTCGCCTCCTCTGTGCCCTCCGGCCTATGTGCCTTGCCGTTGCTTGCAGTTCAGTGCATTGTCACTTGGCCTTTGCCCTGCTGCTTGTGAAACCACCCGCTGGTAGTCCTACTTACAAGAGGGGTTAAAGGAGATCATGACTCAAAACTTCACCATGGGGATTCCTCAGATTGTCGAGGCGGGTAGCTAAATGACAAGCCAAGCAGCAGGCCAACTGGATGACCAACAGGCAACAAAGCAGCAAAACGACAAAACAGCAAGGCAACAAGGAGCAAGAGTGGTTGAAGGTATCAGTCTTGGAAACTGCCTTACTACAAAATAAGAGGGGTTTCGAACCCCCACACCACCAGAAGAACTCTACAGGGAGTAGGTTTGCAATTTTGCACCACCGTCAGAGCCAGGGAGTTAACTTCGACGAACATCTGTTATCACCCGGGGAACACACGCACACAGGCATCCCGAACTCTGCAGCCCCCCTAATTGTGTTGCAGGCACTGCTGGCACCGAGTATGTGGACATCTTACAAGGCTGTCACATGGTGGGTGGGTGTGTGGGGTGGGGGGGTGGATGGACTCGTGTGTATGTTATAAGAAATGTATCTGCAAAAGGCAGCTCAATGCTGATCATAGTGATGGCACGTCACCGTTTTGCATTCACAGACAGCATTCTGAGATTGTAGTGAAGAAACATATTACACAAACAAGATGATTTTGGCAAAGTTCAGCAAACGACAGGGGCGAGAACACAAGCCGCAACATGAACAACAAAAGGACAGAGAAACAAACAATGAGAAGGGGAAAAAAAAACAAAGATAGTGACAGACTTTTGACAGACTTTTCTGTCGGACCCTCACTGGCTCATCCAGAGGCTGAACTGTCGACGGTGTGCACGGTCCCCATTTCGATGGCACGGGTCATAGTCTACTTCAACTCTAATTGTGTATGGACAGCCAGGCAGGTGACGACACAAGCAGCAAGGCAAAGCAGGCAGCAACAAAGCAAAGGGCAAGAAGGCAGGACTCTCACTGGCCTGTCTCTTATACACATCTAGATGTGTATAAGAGACAGCCTACAAGCAGCAAGGCAAAGCAGGCAGCAACAAAGCAAAGGGCAAGAAGGCAGGACTCTCACTGGCTCATTCCTGTCTCTTATACACATCTAGATGTGTATAAGAGACAGCAGCAAGGCAAAGCAGGCAGCAACAAAGCAAAGGGCGAGAAGGCAGGTGGTGGACGGGCGGGCATAGAGGCAACAGGCAGGTGACAACACAAGCAGCAGGGTAGGCAAAGCAGGCCACAACAAAGCAAAGGGCGAGAAGGCAGGAGGTGGACGGGCGGGCATAGAGGCAACAGGCAGGTGACGACACAAGCAGCAAGGCAGGCAAAGCAGACAGCAAACAAGCAAAGGGAGAGAAGGCAGGTGGCGGATGGGCGGGCATAGAGGTAACCAACAAAGCGGGACGTGGAGTAACGGTCAATCAGGAGGCCCGGCAGCGAGGCAAGCAGCAAGGCAACTTGACTAAGGAAGCGTCTGCAAGCAAGCAAGCAGACAGATGGACAGTGGGGCGAGGCAGGCACGAGGGCGGGCAAGCAGCGAGCAGCAGGGAAACGAGCTCATGCAAGACAAGTGGGCGTCGTGCCAAACAGCATGGCAGCGTCGGCAGGACAGTTCACACACACAACGTGGACCAAAGTGGGACACCCACTCACTCACGCAAGAAGAAGAACTCTGCGGACTGTAGGTTCACACCTCCATCAAGAATAGCAGAGTCACTGTGACGAATGTCCATCACCACCAGAACACAGAGACGCACAGGCATCACGAACACAGCAGGCCCACTAATAGCACTGCGGGCACTTCTACCAAACGGGCACCGACTCTTTGGCACATCCCAAAGGTGCTCTGCACTTGAATAATGAGGAGGAGACTATTCATCTGTTACGACAACTTGCATGCAACATCGCC